GCAGTATGGAGAACTCTTAAAAAACTAAAGATGGGGGCCAGAGAGAGAGAGAGAGAGAGAGAGAGAGAGAGAGAGCTCAGTGGCTAAGAGCGCTGGCTGCTCCTGCAGATGAGCCGGGCTTGAATCCCAGCAAGCACATGGTGGCTAACAACCATATGTAACTCCAAAAGGATCCAACACCCTTCTCTGTCCTCCATGTGCACTGCAGGACATGGATGCACTTACATACATGTAGGCAGAACACACATACACAAAGTAAAAATAATAAGTGAATCTACCAATATAATCCAGTTATACCACTCCTTGGTATATACCCAAAGAAATTCATCTTATTGTGGAGATAATTATTCATCCATTTTTGTTGCTGCTCTTTTCACAATAGCTAAGAGATGGAAGCAACCTAGGTGTCCCTCAATTGATGAGTGGATAATGAAAATGTGGTTCATATATATGATGGAGTTTTACTCAGCAGTAAAGAAAGATGAAATCATGAAATTTGCAGGTAAATGGATGGAACTAGAATCTGTTATACTAAGTGAAGTAACACAATCTCAGAAAAAAAAAATCGACATATGTTCTCCCTCATTTGTGGATCCTAAGATCAGACTCTGATAAATAATTATGCAAACAGACATAACTGCAGGAACCAGGACAAGGTTTAAGCATTCCAGACCTAAGAAACCAAGAAGTCTAAGAATTTATGAATCTCATGTGGGAATTTCTTCTCATGAAGGAAAAATAGCTTCTTATAAACATTTTACAAGCAGTGTACTACCAAGAATCAAAGACCTTGGCTACAACTGCATTCAGTTGATGGCAATCATGGAGCATGCTTTCTATGCCAGTTTTGGGTACCAAATCACTAGCTTTTTTGCAGCTTCAAGTCGTTATGGAACACCTGAAGAACTAAAGGAACTTGTTGACACAGCTCATTCCATGGGCATCATCGTCCTCCTGGATGTGGTACATAGCCATGCTTCAAAAAATTCAGAAGATGGGTTGAACATATTTGATGGAACTGATTCTTGTTATTTTCATTCTGGACCGAGAGGGACCCATGAACTTTGGGACAGTAGATTGTTTAACTACTCCAGCTGGGAAGTTTTAAGATTCCTTCTATCAAACATCAGGTGGTGGTTGGAAGAATACTGCTTTGATGGGTTTCGTTTTGATGGTGTTACCTCCATGCTGTATCATCACCATGGGATGGGTCAAGGTTTTTCAGGTGATTATAATGAATATTTTGGACTACAAGTAGATGAAGATGCCTTGGTTTATTTGATGTTAGCAAATCATTTGATTCATACATTGTATCCAAATTCTATAACAATAGCTGAGGATGTGTCAGGAATGCCCGCTGTGTTCTCCAACTTCCCAGGGAGGAGGTGGTTTTGACTACCGGTTAGCAATGGCAATTCCAGATAAATGGATCCAACTACTTAAAGAATTTAAAGATGAAGACTGGAATATGGGCAACATAGTTTACACCCTCACAAATCGGCGTTACCTTGAAAAGTGTATTGCTTATGCAGAGAGTCATGATCAGGCACTGGTTGGTGATAAGACACTGGCATTTTGGTTGATGGATGCAGAGATGTATACAAACATGAGTGTTTTAGCTCCTTTTACTCCGGTTATCGACCGTGGAATACAGCTTCACAAGATGATTCGGCTCATTACTCATGCACTTGGTGGAGAAGGTTATCTCAATTTCATGGGTAATGAATTCGGGCATCCTGAGTGGTTAGACTTCCCAAGAAAAGGAAATAATGAGAATTACCATTATGCCAGAAGGCAGTTTAATTTAACTGATGATGACCTCCTTCGCTATAAATTCCTAAATAACTTTGACCGAGATATGAGTAGATTAGAAGAGAGATGTGGTTGGCTTTCAGCTCCACAGGCCTACGTGAGTGAAAAACATGAAGACAATAAGATCATCACTTTTGAGAGAGCAGGTCTTCTTTTTATTTTCAACTTCCACCCAAGCAAGAGCTACACGGACTACCAAGTTGGAACCGCGTTGCCAGGGAAATTCAAAATTGTACTAGATTCAGATGCACCGGAATATGGAGGACACCAGAGACTGGACCACAATACTGATTTCTTTTCTGAGGCTTTTGAACATAATGGACGTCCCTATTCTCTTTTGGTATACATTCCAAGCCGAGTGGCCCTCATCCTTCAGAATGCAGATCTGCCAAACTAAGGAGACCTGAACTCAGCCACCTCATGTGGATGTGTTTGATTGCTGGTTCTTATTGTCACACTGTTGATAAATGTGTATTTTTTAAAAAAAAAAAACATACCGATATTGTCAAAATATCAGGTTCAAATTCAACATTGGACATACAGGTATATCAAAAAGTTGCTTAAGAAGCAGAAGTGAGATTATGCTTAAAATTTTAGCAGTCTGTATTTTCAAGCCATCTGCAGAGCTAGGATTCTCAAATGAAGTATAATGTTTATCTCTTTTAAATGTTACCTTCCTGTTAAATAATTTGTTCCTTTAATTTTAAATTTGAATTATGCATCGTTTGTTTTTTTTCTGTTGAATGTAATGCAGTATTTTATAAGACAGATATTTGGTGGCCTTATTTGTTCTAATATCTATTGGTATAAATGATGAGGTACTAAATTTGTTTCTATTTTTTTCAAATTGTGTTTAGAAACAATGTAATATATATGTAGCAATAATATAAATTCTAGAATTCAATCAAAGATGAAAGTTCTTAAAAAAAAATATACCATATAGTTAGAAAGAAAAAAAAAAAAAGAAAGAAAGGGAAGGGGGATGGATGTAATCAAGATACACCATAAACATGTATGAAAGTTTCAAAGGATATATAAAAATATATAAAGAAACATTAAACCAGGAAAATAAAGTAAAAGAAAATAGTTATAGACTGAGAATAATGGTTGCCACAGGCTGAGGAGTGGTGGGGAATGACTGTTCAAATGGCATAGATTGACCTTTTAGAAATTTGTTAGCTCATACCACTTGCAAAGAGCCAATGGCCTGACGCATCCTGTCCAAAGTAGACTTCTTCTGACTTTTGAGTTCCTATCACTAGGCCCTGCCCAATATGCCATGTCCTAGAACAAAGAACTGTGAGGTCATGGAGAAGGCTGAGGTCATGACTCAGAGCAGGGAAGAGAGACTAACAGGACTTACCTAAGTTCCACATATTTTACCTGTACCCCAGCACATCCTGCTGTGTATCCCCAAGGGTGGCTTTACCCGTGTTCTCTGGTTTCTATCAAAGGCAGGTATTTGAGTCCTCCAGGCAACAGCAAGGTACACAGGACCCTGCCCTAACCTCGAGCCTCATTCGTCGTAGGCCCTCCTCCAAGTCCCTATCAGATGACAGAACTGAGATTACTCTTCTCCAACAGCATGACCCCTCAGGTAATCTCCCTTCTCCAGCCTTCTCTCACATGCTCTGCACATCCATCCTTCCTCCTGAGTAAGCACTCTTCTGCATCGCCACTCCTTCCCATGGCTGTCCTGGCCTCCTGAACTCCCACTCAGGGATCAGCAAGTTCCTCTGCCCTTTTCTAAACCTTCCCTCTGCCACTTATCCTTAATTGAAACCTGTCTGTCTCTTGCAGGCAGTAAGCCACTTCAGTTGTCTCAAGCACAGGCTACTGTTTGAACTCTCAAGCTCCATTTATCAAGGTTGGGAGGCAGCACAAGTACCTCTCCGTGTTCCCCGTGGTTAACTGAGGACCACAATTCTCCATCCCTCCCCTACCCTAGGTGTTCAGTTTTAAATGGAAAAACTGTGAAGTCTTTTAGACTCAAACTCAAGTCATGTATACGTTAGGAAGTATTCAGCCATCTGCCTGCCTGTATTTGTATGCATAGCCTATATAGGTGTCTGTGCATATGTGGACACAAATGAACTATCTGCATCTCACATGAACACACACAAGAATAGGCACGTGCCTACAAAATAGATACACACATAGGTATTTTCTCATATGCACGTTTGTTTTTATAAGGTAACATAAGAACATGTTGTTCTGGGTCTGGAGAGATGGCTTAGTGGTTAAGAGCAATGGTAGCTCTTGCAGAGTGATAGGTAAATCGGGAAAGAATCACCACTCAGAAGAACTCCAGCAAAAGCAAGGTTTATTGGGAAGTCGCCAAGGGAGCTCTCAACTCGGATTGAGGAAAGACTACCAGGCTGCTGGCTGGAGGCTTTTATAATGGGTAGGGAATGCAGAGGGGCTGCAGCTGCCTGGTCAGTTTCTGTTTTTCAAGAGTGGAGGAGGGTATTTCAAACAGTTTCAGAGGGAGGCAGGAGTAGATACATGTGAAACTTATCAGTGGGAAGCAGCTAGAGCTGACACAGCTCTTGCAATAATCGGGTCATGGATGTAGGGGCCTGTTTATCTTCTAAATTTTGTGTGGGGGAAACAGACTGTTGAAACTGACTCAATTCCTGTTTTTTCAAAAGCCCCCGCCCCTCTGCCTTACTGCACTGGGGGAGTGTCACTGCAGACTGGCTCTAACACAGAGGACCCAGGTTCAGTTCCCAACATCCACATGACAGCTAACAACAGTAAGTCCAGTTCCAGGGAATCTGATGTCCACTTCTAACCCCCATGGCCATGCATGACACAGGTGCACTTGCATACATGCAGGCAATACACTCATACACAAAATAAAATAAAAATAATAAATAAAATATTTTTAAAAAAAAACATTTTGTCCATACTTTCAATTTATAAATAAACCTTTTTGAAGCATAATTTCACATACAGAAAAGTATGCAAACCAGCTTGATGACTTATTGCAAGATGAATACTAACATTTAATTTTAAATTCGTCTATTCAATGGGTTTGTTGAAGAACTGAATATATAATACATTTTTCTAGTTTTAGATCTTCAGGTGTTTTCTATTTTTTTTTTTTAGAACACTGAGAAGTGATTTCCCTTGTCTCTGACTACATTTGTGAATATATCTGAAATTCTGGGTTCCTTTGCTGTCTTACAGGGATACCTCCACAGATCCCCTCCACAGTCTGTCCTGAGTTATTAGGTAAGTGCAGCTTACTGTCTATAAGTCTGTCACACAGCCTTGCTGCTTAGGATCATGTGATTCTCTTGGATGCAATGTGCACAGCTCTGGCCTGCTTTTCTCCTTGTCATCACACCTGCAGAGCAGCCTAGTGTGAGCTTCCTGGTGGTGCTGGTATCCCTCTAAGCAGTGCTGGTGACTTTAGTGGATGGAAGGCACTTGGGACCCTCCTATGAAATATTATGTTTTGGGATATTCTAGATTTAAGTAATATGAACATTCTGTAGGTTACTTCCCTTGGCCCCCAGAGGATGGAAGGCACTTGGGACCCTCCTATGAAATGTTATGTTTTGGGGTATTCTAGATTTAAGTAATATGAACATTCTGTAGGTTACTTCCCTTGGCCCCTTTGCTTCTTCTACCTTTGGAAAGAATATTACTGGCATGTCTACTACCACTGGGTATCTGTTGTTCTTTCTCTGGGCTTCCAAGAAGATACCTGAAGGCAAGTTCACCCATCCCTTGGGATTAGAGTTGTCAGATACAGCAAATTAAACTGTATGGCTCAGCTAATGCCATCCTAAGTATATACCTATAGGATTCTTTATCCTACCACAGGAATACTTGCACATCCATGTTTATTGCTCCAATATTCACAATAGCAAGGAAATGGAACTACACCTGATGCCCAACAACAGATGAATGGATAATGAAAATGTGAAACATATCCACAGTAGAATTTTAATTAACTATAAAGAAAAAATGAAATTATGAAATTTACGGGAAAATGGTAGATCTGGAAAGTATTCTTTTAATAGCGGTGACCCCAATTCAGAAAGACAAATACTGCATATTCTTTCTCATATGTGGAGTCTAGCTTTTAATGCTCATTTATATGTATATATGTGGGTACAAGTGCAGACATAGGCTGTGAAATTAGAAAGAGGAACACAAAAGGAAGAAAGGAGTGTTATGGGGGAGGGTAAAAGAATACACATGACATGAAAGTGGGAAGGAGGATATTGGAGGGTAGAGGAGCACAGGAAGGGGGAGGGGAGGGAGTAAGAAGGAGGAGGGGGAGAAGGAGGAAGACGGGGAGAAGAAGGGGTTGTGGAACCAACAAAAATATGTTTGAAAAATGTCATAATGAAACCTAATTCTGTGTATGCTAATTACACACAGATATATAATATCCAGTTAAACTTGAATTTCTAATGAAACATTTTCTTTTAGCTTATGTCCCAAATACCACATAAGGCAAACTTTTATTTCAGCTAACAGTCTTCCATGGAGTCTCTAGTAAGGTGTTTAAATTTTGTGATCCCAGAAACATCTATAACTCATTCTTATTTATCCATCTTTTCTATCTATGTTCTTTTTTGTTAATCAACTATTCTCAAAATCTCATACTAGAAAAACCCCATCTCCTGATGGGGTATGCTAGGCAATGATTGCCTCTCCTTCCACACATGTTTCTTTCTCCTGTTATAAGGTCCAGATACAGTGCCAAACCAGCATGCTGGAATTTAAGCCGCATTACTGGCCTGGAAGCTGGGAGAGGAGGTGAAAGTAGCAGACATTGCTCTGCAGAGAAACCGCTGCAGCATCTTTAAGCATGAAGAAACCTAGTTCTTCCTACAGAACATGGGCTACCTCTGTGTGTTCTGGGGTTCAGGTGGGTCTACAGTGTCATCACCTCTAGATTTATACTTTCATGGCTGTTTCATGTTTGGATGCCATACTCTCCAAGCCAGGGCCCTGACTGGTGTTAGGCTGCCAAGTGTTTAGCAATCAGCTCTCTGAAAGTGAATGCCAAAAAACTCTGGACTCATTATATTTACTGATTTCAGGGTGCAGATAATGATCCACCAGGGATGATTTAAGGGTAGCAGGATGATGTAGTTGATGAGATATGGATGACTAATTGGTTCTTACAACCTAGGAAGGACAATGCTCACTCAGACTACCACTGGCCCAGCCCTTCGTGTGACAGGTGCTGGCTGGGCATACGAATGTCCTGAAGTGTTGTGACTCTAAATATCAGGGCCTGTATTTGTTGCACAGCTGTGTCCACTCATCTGATGTAGGCGATAAGGGCCCTTTGGAAACTACCAAAGAGAATTTCTACCTCTCATCCTTAGCCTGCTAATGATCCTTAGTCTCTCATGATCCCTCCACAGAGCAGCAAAATGATTTAGCTGTAACCAGCCAACTCTGTCAGCTTTACAGGCATCGGTCCCCCTGTATCTTTTTAATGCCCAAATAATATCACCTGCAGAGGTGGTCTCCTCTGGCATTTTCCACAGACATTATCAGTAAACTCTATCAGTTTTGCACCAGATGGCCTTTTTTGTTATTGGGGAGATGAATTGGCCAGTTCTCTAATCTCATCTATTTTCTTGGACAATTGACACCATTTGGGTTAATTATATTCTCCTAAAGAGCAGACACCAAGATGGGATTAGATGTGCAAAATGCTTATTGAAGGAAGTGGGAGACAGTGGGGAAGGCAGTCAGATTAGGACGCAGATCTGACCGAAGCCTATAAAACAGAAGAAGGGGTCGGGGGAGTGGGAACAAGGAGGATGGTAAGGATTGGAAAGGAATTTCTAGGGTCTCTGGGTATTTCTAAGAAATTTCCAGCCAGAGGAGTTAAGTTGCACATTTCACAGGAATAGAACTTGATAAGAATTTGCATAGACT